GCCGCTCCCTGGGAGCCACACGCCTACTTTATCACAAGGGGCCATGGGAGTGCATTACAGCTGCACCTTTAGGCAGAGGCCTCCTAACAGCCTGTGCACAAGTTTCCTCATAACTCTCCTGTGCCAACAAATGGTAGTTCCCACTTTACAGTGAAAATATAAACAGAAACAACTCATCTTGTGTCACATAAGACAGTCCTCAGAGCTGACCTTGGGTGTTCCAAATCTCCAGTTATTTTTTCTATCCAGGAAGCAACAATACAATATAATAGAAAAAGTAGATGTGTGGATATCAGAGAGCTGGGATCCTATCGCCACTCAAATCTTGGCTAAGTTTTCCACTTAACTAGCTGGTTTGCCTCAGTCAAGGCTTCTAACCACTTTGAACCTTCATTTCCTCATGAGCAAAATGAGAATATGAACTCTACATCACTAGGTTATTGCACGAATAAAAAAATCCTAAGTAAATTATTAAGAACAAAGCTTGGTACCCAAGAGGTACTGAGTACATTTCTGTCCCTTTCCCCTTTAGTAGCACCATAAATTAACCAGAATCCAAATAACCAGAGCCTTCAATGCACTAATTCCTTATTCATCCCCTAGACTTTCCAGTCTTGAATTCTAAATAGTAACAGAAACAAGCAAAGATTGGGGATTTACTAAAAAAGGCAATTTCAGTCAAGGTCTTGGGGTCAGTGCCTCCTCTGCCTTCTACAGCTGCAAACCCATGTGATGGGCATTGTAGCTCAGAATGCTGACCTTGAGGGCCAGAGAGGCAATAAAAAGGTTCAATTACAACCATTATGTTCCACTCAATGAGACAGGCCAAGTGGGTACCTTAGCATTTTCCACAACAAGGGTTCACACAAAATGGGGTCTCTGCTTAACCCTCAATTAACCTGAAAATCCACTTAAGCAGAACAGTGTTTTCCCTGAGCATCCTGTCAGTCCAGGTTTGGGCTCTAACTGGTCAGGAACAGACCCATCATTTATATTCACAACTCGCCTATTCCAAATTCCAGCCCGTAACAGGACTCAGTTATGGGGTTAGAAGAAGTGAAGGATAAAATCAGAAATCACAATTATTTAACCTCACATTGCTGAAAACAACACTGCAACCATCTGAGATGGTCAAGGAGACATGGTTCCATGGCTGTCACTGGGCAGAAATCCTTTTGGCAAAGCGTTCAAACCATCTTTGCAAAGTGGATGGGTCACAAAGTCAGAAAAGAATCTTTGCAAAGTCACCTCCCCTCCAACCTGACCATTCACTGTGTCATGCCTCCTCTCTACCGTGCATGGGCCGAGCACCAGGAGGGAATCAGAAGCCTGAGGCCTGGACTCCACTCACCAATAGCTCCCAACCTAGCAGGAGACACAGGATAGACACAGAGAAAGACTGTAAGGGCAGCATGGATTGAAATGTCACCTATTTTAGGGGAAGAGCCTGATGAAGGTGAGAGTGCTGCAGAAAGCTCCAGTGATGCTCACAAAGTTAGTGCATCTTTGTTGTTATGTGCCATCGAGTTGGCTCCGACTCATAGCAACCCTGCCATTTTTCATGTAGACTAATAATGCATTATCAACTGCTTTGAGAGAGACTTAGCCTCCAAAGTAAAAGGAAATCCAACCTCAGAATATCTAGGCAGGCCCTGGGTTAAGAAAACAGCATTGGAGAAAGACAGACAAGGATTACCCTATTTACTAGTTATGTGACCTTGGGCAAGTCACTTAGTCTCTCCTAGGGCTATTATGAAATTCCAATAAAGTAACCAACCTTAAGCATCTGGTACAGAGCAGATGCTCCATTAAGTACCAATTATATTCCCTCTCCTCTCTTGGGTTTCCTTGTCTGTAAATGGGGAACAACAGTATCTCTTTCACATAACTTACAAGGATCACAAGAGACGAGGTTAAGTAACGAGAAACTGGCCTGGACAATTTACAAATATCAATTCAATGTCGTAACATTAACACATACCCATGCACACATATCAATATACACATAGGCTGTGGGACTGCTCGACATTAAAGAAGTCTCAGAAAGATATGACAACTAAAGGCAATGTGGAATCCTTATTTAGATCTGGATTTGGAAGAAGGAAAAAATATATATATAAAGGACAGTACTGGGACAACTGGAAAAATACAGGTAATAGTACAATGCTGCTGTAAGTTGCCCTCCAATCAATTCTGACCCCATGTATGCAGAGCAAAACTATGCTCTGTAGAATTTTCAAAGCTTTGACCTTTCAAAAACAGATTCTATCTTCCAAAGTGCATATCTTCCAAGGCACTTCTGAGTGAGTTTGAACCTCCTACCTTTCAGCTAATACCTGAGCACTTAATCATTTACACCTTCTAGATGCGTCTAACTGTACTAAAATAATGTTAAATTTCTAGAGTATGATAATAATATTGTGGTTAGATAAGAGAGGAACTCTGGTGGTGCTGTGGTTAAACATTGGGCTGCTAACCAAAAGGTCAGTGGTTCGAACCCACCAGCTGCTCTGGGGGAGAAAGAGGGGGCAGTTTGCTTCCATAAAGATTTACAGCCTTGGAGACCATCTGGGGCAGTTCTACTCTGTCCTATAGTGTCACTATGAGTTGTAACTGACTCAATAGTAGTTAAGTTTGGGTTTGGGTAGATAAGAGAATATCCTTGTTCTTAGGAACTACCCAACCTGTTGCTAGAGTGTCAATTCCAACTCACAGTGACCCTTTAGGACAGCGTAGAACTGTCCTATAAGGTTTCCAAGGCTGTAATATTCATGGAAGCAGACTGCCACATCTGTCTCCCA